AGCATAACTACATACTTAAAACACTGAAGTCCCTTGCACCAAGTGATCACCATGACTTACTTTGCAAATTTCATTTCGCTGACAAAAGCAACTTTTTAGCCGGCAGAACTAGCATCATACATTGAAACTGATAAAGAAGCACAATATGAAATAAGACCAATGTTAGATAACAGGTGTAATATCATGGTGCGGTAATGACAGTGGGGTTATTATTCTTCTTATTAATTTATCCACAACTCTCACAGCAACGAGTGACAGCAGGTTATAAATAACTCGATATCTCCTGACAAGCAACTGCAAAAAGTGGTAGCTTTCTAGGGGCTTCACATGGCAGATCACCTGACCACAGGCTATTCCAAAGGAGGCTAGTCCCATGCATGTCCCAGAGAGTCTCGAGGCAAGCCACGCGGATTCACGTCAAACCATTTCATCTGACTGGACCATGAAACCGTCAACCACGAGAGAACCAGGAGAAGATCTTCAGGCCTCGCTAGAAACAAACCACACAAAACGCCTGTAAACGGGCCCGACGGTTTAGCATAGGACCCACTCACGTTACGGGTTTCCCATGAACTGTTACTCTTGCGCCAACATAAGCTCATACGGAATACGGAGTAGAACTCGCATTGATCTGGTTCAAAAGCTCGCTTCTTTCGTCTCCGCTTGCCTCAACTGGGTGCTGTTTTCCCTATCATTAACAATGACAGGTTGGACAGGGCATTTGGTGTCCCCCACATCCTACCTGCAGAGGCTGCTGCTGTGCATAATTGTGCAATTTTTTTTTTTTTTTTTTTTTGTTGATTCAGAGGTCTGTGCAATGATTCCATCGGGGAGACCCAGTTGACTCACAGACCTCCTCAATTTTATCAATTGCAGTTGGGAAGCAGTTATCCGACTGTCAAAGGTGCCTTCGTGATTCCTAAACGAGGCTGGACATGCGAAAAAAGCACCCGTGTTTCCCGTCCAAGGTGGAACCATACGCACACCGTGCGACTGTTCCCATCCTTGGAACGAATTATTATGATCAAATGATTTGCTTCCGTTTCTTCGGGTTTGGAGTCGCTGCAGCCCTGGTTCCAATAATATCCTTATGGTCCTGGGGTTTATGTGTAACCGCAACCTTATTTTGGGGTCTTGTGAGAGAGTATCTGGAACGCGATCATTCTTCGCGTCGCCTTAGATGAAGAATCTCTAAGCAATTCCAGGTGGATGCTCAAAATCCCATGCAGGGATACCCGAAACCAAAGTTCTGGTTATTGATAATATGTTGAGAGATTCACCCTTACTTGTTGCTTGAATGGTAACATTCTATGCAACAAGCTGGAAATCTGAACCTCCTATCAAGCTATCCCGAACTTTGAATTAGAAAATATATAACAAACTACTAGTTAATAAATCTAAAATAGATATTCTTTCAAGTTGTACCATAAAATAATATAAATTCTCTTTTAAAATTAAAAGTAAACTAAATCTACATAATATGTAGTTAATTAATCTAGTTGAAGATCTATATAAAATACTAACATAAGTAATAATCTTGAAGAAACAAAACCACCTTGAAATAGAAAACAATACCAGCTAAAATTATACTAGTGGCTAATAGAGATTTTCATATAATCTTTTAATAAACAGTGTTTAAAGAAAATTACAAGCGTTTTTACTACCAATGATATAAAAATATCATAAAAAGGTGAGTCATACAATTAAAATTTGCCTTTGATAATGCATCGAAATTAATAGTATCTATTATAGAAAATATAATTATTATAGATAATAACTTAAATAAAGATTTTAACAAAGTATATAAAAAAAGTAAAATCTAGCTATAGCTTTATTACTTGAATCAAATAAATCTATTAATAAAAATAAAAGTGGCAATATACTTTTCAAATACATACAAAACAAAAAATACCTAGTAAAGAAACTGCCAATAATAATAATGCTTTTATATAATATTAGTATTATTACCAAAGATAAAAAATATTTTTTTCACATATACATCTTCAATTAGATATTAATGCAATAAATATTATAATAGTTGTTAATAAAGTAAAATATATAGATATTCTATCTATACCTAATATATATTAAAATACTTACTTTGATAAAACCTGTCAAGCCCATTCTGAACTTTGAATCTGAAGGGAGAATCTAAGCCTCTGTTATTTTTATCCGCATGACTCAGGATCTCCCGCATGCTTTTTCACTCAATTAAAACCTCCCCCTACTCTGGTTGGAAATTGGCTAAGTTATTCTGCCCTGTTGATCTGGGATAACCACGTATATGGATGATGATGATGATGCAATGGCTAAGAGCACCAGTTGGCCACCCCAGGAACCATGCACATAAGCTCCTATATTGTCATTACAAAGGGGCCGGATTGTAACAACTAAACGATTGGTAACTGCCCAAAAGGTAAGCTCCCAGCCTTACGATCGTGGATATTCAAGATGCAGAGCCTGTCATCCCACATAAATAAAGGACCGCCAATTGGAAAAGTAAATCCATTATTCTTCCAACATGGTAACGAGTCATTCCCGTCCCTCGAAGTTCCAACATTGGAATCCGATGAGTAGGCAAGGGTCTACCAATTTCCTCAGTAACTACTATGTAGTTAACTACTCAGTAGTTTAACGAGTTAACTTACACTTCTCTGCCCTTTATGTTCAACAAGTCCATTGGCTCCAGCTCTGATGATGTTGAGCATTGGAGATAACATTTGTTGTCACGGTTTTATTTTCGTGAACTTTAAACAATGTTGACTTAATCTAAGGCCTTGTGAAAGGAGCTGGGATACGAACAGCAGTGGAATGCTGTTTGTTGTCTTAGGACACTTCCATGAAGCGTCAGAGTTCTTGTTATATGCTTCACAATATTTCATAAAACAAATATTGCTTGACAAAATCTACGCAAACTTTCTCTCAATTGTTGGGAAATAGGTTTATACAATTATAACATTAATTGATTCGTTAATATATATATATAATAGATATATAGATATTTATATTATATTATCTATACACTTACTTAATCTATCCGCAATGCATCTCATTTTCACAGGTGCCACTGATCTCGTCGGATTCCGAGTTCTTAATCAGATGTTACCTTTGATCCCAGGGTGAACATCCAAATTAACAATCCTCAGCCGTGGACCTGCCGATATTGAAAAAGCTCGAAGGAGCTGAGGGTTGTGTGTGGGCCCAAGGCAAATCCCAGTCACTGGTTGGGGTGGTTGTATGAGAGACTCATTCTGTCGCTGATATGTCCTGCCAATACCAGCTACATCGGAGGAAAAATATAATATTCTATATGAAAGGACAGAACTGATTGATGCGTGATGTTTAGGGAGGACATTAAGATCACCAAGGACTGCCCTTCAGCAGCAGCTAACGCGTTCATTAGTTACACTGGCTGATTCTTTGAAGCATATTTATATTTCAGGTAAGTTTCTATCTCCTATACGGGTGATATATTATATTACTTGCTAACTTGCAATGTGAACGGATCAAGGTGTAAGTTTCAGTCGCACCGTTAATTGATATTATGGTGGATACTGATCACCTGGCTGAAATCCTTGAGATCGGACCTGGCGTATCCACTAACTTCATACAATATAGGCTACAACAAAGCCAGGCAAATTCACTCAAACCTTCGCCGCTGTCAAAGGGCGAATGCGAAAAGGCTCTGCTTGATATGGCTAAAGCAAAACACATCTTTCAATCCCTATTCCCTCTGGCAAACCATGTTGATCCTACATGTATTTGGCAGTGCGCTAAGCAACCGCCAACCGCCAACCTCCAACTCCCACTCTCATATCGAGTGATGGAAGCTTTTGGTCCACTATATAGAACGCTTGCTCCAGGCCTTGTTTCACCGACACAGGAGATTGGCATTATGACTACGGCGCTGACGATGGGCAATGATATGGTTTGGAAGGATCAGGTGTATCCAAAGACGGGTGCATTTTTAGTAAGGAAGCTAGTAGTAGGATTGCTAAAGAGAAAGTTGGGTTAAACTGATGCGTTATAAAAGCTTTTCATGTGTTTATAGAACCGTGTTTTGGTGTGTTATATTATTATCTAAATATCTCCCTGGAAATTGATTTTTGTATACATACGTACTCCTAATATAATAACAGATAGGCACATTTTCTTCAATGTAAAGCCATCCTAATAGCCGCTTGCTTTCTGGCATGTTGTGCATTCATTGCAACATATATTCTAATTTTGAATGATCTGAAAAAACAATCCAATCTAGTTATATTTCGATCTCCACATATGAGCTTCGCCATTAGTAACCTGAATTTTACTCGCCGACAGTTATCTAAACACAGAAAAGATTCCTACAGCAATTAACAAGCCAGGACCATCCTTAATAATTCTGAAGTAAAATATTCCCATTAAAACCAAACTCCACCTTCCTCAACCCATTAGACATACCAAAACCGCCTTACCCACAAGCGTCATGCCCCTAATCCCCCAACCCTCTGACTTCCCCTCCTCTCTAACCCTCACCATACCCCCCACCAATCACGAGATCCACAAACATTCTCCTGATCCTACACGGACTAGGTGACAAATCGCCCGTTCATATCCTTCGTCTCTACCCTCCTGTTACGTGAGACAACCTGCATTGCCCTAAAAGCGCCAACGCCTTTCCCCCTTCAGCCTCCAGGCTACCACTGGGGCGACGATATCCTCTTCAATCCCGAGGCCCTGGACGCAGACCTAGGATTTCACGTGTGACTGGCAAGATTGTCCAGGAGCTGATTCTGTCTGTGCTGGTGCGAAGACATGCGTAACGGGGGAGAGAAATTTTGATATTTGGGTATGTCCAGGGGGATAGTGTGGAATTAAGTGTTAGGTTGGAGGTTGGAAGGGGTGCGTTGGTTGATGATGGATTGAATGGGGAGAGGGAGTTGAGAGGAATTATGGCAGTTGGAGGGGTATTGCCACTGTCAGCGATTAAGGAGGATGGGAGGCAAAGCGGAGGTACTGGTGTTGTTGGTTGGGGCACAAGGACCAGAGAGTGCTATTACAGATGCGGGACTATGCAGGATGAAAGCGAATTTTGAGTATGTGAAGGTAGTGAAATGGAAGGGAAGGATGGGAGATGAGACGCCTAGCAACCGAGAGGAGATGTTTCCCATCACGCAGCTTTTGGTGAAGAGGTCGAGGAGTACTAGCGGAGTTCCGGATGGAAGTAGAGAGATTAGTTGAATTCCATATTCTCCAGTTGTTATGCTTATTAGACCAACATGTCCTCAGAATGGACCTATGTTTCTCTCTTTTGGTGTCTCATAATGGGAAAACCACATGTGTTAAAAAAAAAAAAAAAGGAAACTATTTTACATCCGAGAGAGCTTGACGGGCTCTGTTGATTTGTTGCAGTGCTTTAGTTTCCGGAGCTGCTTCGATCGCTCGCCCACCTTCATAAATCACGGTACGGAGTGACTCCTCAGTGTCTTTCAAGGCGCGTCGGCCTTCTTCGCAGACCTCTCGCTCCCAGAAGCCTCGTGCCGCATCCCAGCCCTTTTGTTGTTGACGCAGGGAGACTAAAAGTCCAATCGTCGCGATGGTGCCGGCTTCATATACCGAAGAGCTTAAAGAGGACACATACACCAAGGCGGAAAGCGCGGAACTTAGTGAAGTGGTTGACACGCTGAACAAAACAAGTTTCTGTGCGAGGGCATGTAAGGAAGGGACACTTAAAGTAGAAAGTTGGTGCCGAATATCTGGAATCTGCGTGGGCCAAAGCTTCTCCTTGGGAATCGACGACGATAACTTGGCTTCTGGGGACTCCTGAATATCCAGCGTTGAATTCGCCTCGTGATTCAACAGTCCTGCCTGATGGATTTTCCCACCAATCCAAATTACTCCGTTCTCAGCCTCTGGGAGCCATGCCGTCCGCAATATACGAGAAGTTATCACCCCCACGTCATCTACATGCCAAAATAACTTCCACCAAGAAAGAGTCCGCCATGGTTTACTCGCAAATGCCTGATTGAGAGTGTCTCGAAGTTCTGTATGCGCACGTTCCGCCCACGAGCTAACTGTTTCCTGCAAAGCCATTCGTACTTCTTCCGGGACAGTCTTAGATTCACGCACCAATTTTTGTTGGTTCTGGTCCTTAATGATGCTTTCCTCTGCTCCATCTAGAACTGATCCAACAAGCCTTCTAATTGAAGGATCGAGAGTCTCATCCTTCGGAGGGGCCGACATCCATTCTATCAAAGGTTGAACCCCGCTCCCCAACCAACCCTTCTCATACTCTGTTGCATTTTGGACAGATTTACGGAACGTATCCAATGCCGCCTCCGCGCTGTCGATATCGACAAAAGAAATTCCTTCTTTTTCCTGAGTTGAACCTTTGTCCAAATTGAGCTCGAATGCAGCACGTATTGTTTCAGGCTCTTTGATATTCGCACGTTCTACCAGCCTCATATATGCCAGTAATCCATCAATACCTTTCCCACAAACAATGCTCTTGTGCACAGGGTATCGGATAAAAGTATGAGCCCCCGTACTGGTCGACTGGATGGCAATGGTAGGAACGAGAAAAGCGCTACTTGTGATATGGCTATCCGCATTCAAACTCGCACCCAGGGGAGAAACGAGAATTTCCAGGTTGGCAGCTTTCAGTGCTATTGAGGGAACCGATATAGTTGGGACCAAGCTATAGTCAGCAGCGAGATCTGTTCGTTCGCCATACCTAAAAATGGTGTTATCAGTATTTCAAATCCACCCATCTCAAGGAAGTTACTTAAGACGCCATACTTTATCAATAAGCCACGGGAAGTGTCCATCCGATATGTTTCCAGGTAATCCTCCCATTCCTGCTTTGGACTCAACGGGTCAGCCAGGAGTAGTCGCACAAGCCTAGCCGTCGTAGACGTATTATCCAAACCAAGAACTGTTGCAGAGTCATGAATCAACCCAGTCAGCCAAAGTTTGATATTTTTAAACGCAAAATGGACCGCCAATCCTTCCTAACTGTCCATATATGAGCTCCAGAACGTACCAGCAACCCGAATAACGGGCATCTCGGTTTCCAGTCCCCTTAAAGCCAATTGCAGCCTACTCGAGTTAACATGTGTTGCAGCGACATCATGCACGCTGCGCAAGGCAGAATATAGCTCCTGAAACCGTTCCGGGATATTCCTCGTGAAATTGACTGCGTGCGGAGCTGTGGATGGAGGAGCAAAGGTCGACGCGGAACGGCTGCGACAAATAGGATTAAGATTTCGGTAGCGTGCGGAAGATGCCTGGGAGGAAATTGAGCGACGCCATGTTGAGCAGGAGGGACAGAAGAAAAAGGATTCTGTGTAGAGGATGGCCTGCATTGAGAGCGAGGAATGGAGTTTCGGCGGCATTTGGGGGAGAAGGAGTATGAAGGATTGGTTGTTGTTGAATGATGAAGAATGGCTCGGGATTTTGGGTGGTTGGTTGTTCCGGTGTTTTCTTGGCATTCTGGCAGAGTTTGGACATCAATGACATCGGCCATATGTCTTGAAAAGATGAACAATAGCAGATTATTCACTCAGACATAGTAGTACATTGATGTGTCATTCAGTAAGTGAATTGGAGCATTTATACTGCTTTGAGGTTTCCCTCCACCCCTACATTAAAATGAATGTACTCTGTACACAACTGTGTATTGACAGTTAAATATCTAGATCAAACGCATAAAAGATTGACAGGACGAATTATATTTGCATCAAGACAGCCGAATTTCAGACAATATGGATACACATACAGATATTATAGCTTTTGCACCTTATTCCGTTCTGCAGAAGATCTGTGAGTTTTATACAGTGCACATACAATTGACATTTCATTGGCTTTTAGGGGCATACCTCAGGATAACAATCATGTACACCGGAATCGTAACACATGTACTAATTTGTCATACGTCACAAAAATCTGCATTGGTGGAATAAGAACCAAGTAAACTTCAGGGGAAAATTTACATCGTGTAACATTAGGTTTGGGTGTATCATGCACATGCCAGTCATACTATGCAAAATCATCGGTCTGGGGGAAAAGAAAACCAAAAGGGGTGTAGAGGAAACTGTATGTATATACAGGAAGGGAGATAGGGAGAGAGACGAAGATAAACAAAACACAGAGGATAATTTGCCCAAAGGCAGTATGCTGTATTTGATATCATCAAAGGTGTTAATAATAAAAACAAGGCCCATGCCTTATTTTCAAAATTGTCTCAAAAAGGTCATTATCTCAGCGTGAGAGAAAGGAAGGCATTAGAAAAGGAACATAAGAAAAGAAGTGCACACATCTCTCAGAGACACAGCATATCCATATAAGTTTTTCTTTCTCTTTTTCTTGCTCACCTCTTTCCATGACCAAAAACAAGCAAAACGTCTATCTCTGTGTAAGACAAGCTATGGAACCAGGGCATTAAACATGCAAATACATCGTGACGCGAGGGCTCAGTTAGTAAGGGGTTTGAAAAGCCACAAAAAAAAAAAAAACGACACCGATAAACGACACCGATATCAGTTTGGAGCTTGTGGAGTTGTGGTTCTAAAACAAGAAAAGGGACGAGAGTTAGTTTCATCTACTGTTCCGGCTTGACACGACGGTTTTTACCGGACCCAGAAGACCTGTTGGTATTCTCCTTTAGCACCGTTCTGTTTTGCGTGTCACATATAATCGAACAGGTAGAACTCACATGCTGATCCTTCGGGCCATGTTCGTCAAGCCAGCGTCGTTCTCTGCCTCTTGCGCAGCACGTTCCAATGCTTGTTTCCGCTCCTCTTCAGTTCTCTTCACCACCTCTTCGTGGGTGGGTGGAAGACGTTCGTTCTGTAGGTCGACCTTGCGAGCATCTTCGAAGTTATGGATGGCTTGCTTGATACCTTCCGCTCCGAGCATCAGTGTGCCGGCAGGGAGGCGGCCACCCGAGGCAGTTTTGAGTTCAGTAACTCTCTCTGATTCTTCACGTAGTACCTGGAAGACTCGAGAGAGACGGCCAATAGCCAAAATCTTGTTTTTGATAGCACGTCGTTTGAACTCAGTGCTCTCAGGATCCATTTGAAGGGCGGGCGATGCGGCGCCAGACACTGATGGTGATTCTTCCTCCAGCTCTTCTTTGGAACATGTGTTCAAAATGGCGATTAGCATGTCAGTGATTTTTTCGCCGACAAATGGGAGAGACCATGTGAAAACATCCATGAAATTCGGTAGCCAGTAAGGGTGGGGAGTGCAGTTGAACTGTCTGATGTTCATGACGTTGTTTTCGTATTTCAAGACGGCAGCTTTGTTGTTGTAGACGTCAAGATAATTCGGAGCACTGAAGATCGTCATTACGCTGGGGAATCCAGTTGTTCGTGTTTTCCTATACATTCTGTAACCGGCATCCTGGGCTTCGTGAGCTCGAATAATGGATAGCAAATTATTTTTCTCCAGGAATGCGCAAGCAGCGGGATAAGAGAAGAAGTATGAGCATCCTCTAACGTTATTGTGCACAAAATACTCTCCTGTTTTTTCCTGGCCGAATTCCTCAAGCGGGTCAGCCCAAAGTATGTCGCACATTAGTCCTTGGGTAGGGGGTTCTCTGAACCGGTCAATCTAGGCAAATGCCATTAGTTACAACATCACAAACACACAGCACAAGGGATTATCCCCCCGAACTTACTGATTTCAGATCTTCCAAAGTATGTAACTCTGGACTTAGACCGCCATGAATGCAGAGGAATTGTTTGTTCATAATGGCAGCCAGTGGCAAAGCACAGAAAGATTCGGTACAGGCATCATAGACTTTCTCTGAGTACTTGTGTTTGCACTCTAGTTTGAATGTGAAATAGTCTGTGAGATGGCGACACTCATGATTCCCTCGCAATAACCATAGAGAGTTTGGATACCAAATTTTCAGGGCCCAGAGGTATAAGACACACTGAATGACGAATTAACAAAGATTAAAATTTAAGAAAGACAGTTGATAAAAAACATACCTCGATACTGAAATATCCTCTGTCGACATAATCACCAAGGAAGAGGTATCGCGTCTCCGCGGGGTCGCCACCAACTTCAAATAGTTTCATAAGATCATAATACTGGCCATGGACATCGCCGCAAACTGTAATAGGCGCGTCCATTTCTAGGAGATTAGGTTCCGCGCGCAGCAACTGGGTGCCCGTCTGTATAATCCATAATGCTTGCTCTTCAGTAAGGCGACCTTCACGATAAAAATGTTGTTTTAGGAACTGTAGGTTTGGTTTCGTTGGGTCTTCGAGAGACCAAAAATTGTCGTTTGTTGGAACCTGGAACGCGGGTGCTTGTACCTCTGTTGGAGAATGTTAGTCTACGCATTTCACTAGTTAATGATGACGAAATCCGGTCATGTCACCTTTACAAACTCTCTCGTGGGTAGAAACCTGAGTTCCATCTTCCATGGTATGGAGAGTAAAGTCGATTTCAGGAACAGGCTTCTTCTCCGTCACCGCTCGCTCTATTTTGGCATCCATGTCTGCAAGCCAGCCTAAGAGACTTCGCCGAAAATATGGTGAATACGTTTGCGACGGAAAGGCGTAGGGAGGTAAGTCCACAGCAACACAGGGAAGGAGATGACAACCCACACAGTCAGACGAGGGAATATCAGTGCCGGCTGCAAGGGTTCAATGATGATACAGGCTTTATCACGACAAACAAATCGGATCAACAATAATAAGCACTATGTAGTTGGTCGGGGGAAGATCAAATCGCTCCGGGCATCATAAGGCGGGTTCGTTTAACTGATAGCTGCGCCAGTAGAAATTGCCCCGCAACAGATTTAAGAAAGTCGAACTGGTATGTAGAGGTTGGTTAAGTTCTTGGGGATTTGCTGCAATCAACGCTGATGCAATTACGTTAGTGAATCCATGATTTGGACATGGCATAGATTGTAATAAGGGAAAAGAAACATACTGCTGCTTGGAATGTCACCTTGAATAGGGGAGAAAAATGTAGTTGCCACTGGCATCGAACACCGGGCAAGGAATTGGAAAAGTTGAAATGTTTGATGTTGATCGTTGGCTGCGGTATTCTCCTATGTGGTGTTGTGTGGAAGAAGTGGGAGTTATTGGAGGTCATGGATGGCTCAGTGGGCGGTGGCAGAATAACCATAACTAGTCAGCAAGAAACCCGGACGTTTATGTCGGCTACGGCCTCGGGGACCTTTAACCAAGTTCATTTAACTCCCACGTTCTCTATAACCGGCGTATCACCCAACGACAGCAAGCATCAACTACACCACCCACCCACTCAGGCCTGCACAGCCATATATATATACCCTTTTTGGTATATTGACCTTTGCCTCCTATTTGCATCTTAAGTTGTGTATCACGCACCAATCATCTACATATCCAGACTTCTGAACCCAGATAGCTTCTCTGGCCCTCCTCATATCCAATAACCCCTGGAAGTCTTCTTTCTTTGAGCCATGTATGAATCATATAGTCAGTAGCTGTCCTGGTGTTCATTTCAGCCGCGATCAAGGACCCAATGGTTATTAACATGTGCCTCAGAACCCCACCCTCTTCTCGCCCAAATACCCTTAACGGTCTCGCCTTTTATATCCTTACCTACAGCGACAACGCTGTCATATACATATAAATCCGTATCCTCCACTCTTCCCCCATCAGTTTCGGTCGACCCAAGCAGCTCAGATAAGGTTCGCTATGTCCTTGCCCCTGGTGGTGGGCACGCGGCTCACCCTAGCGAGATCCTCGCATCCTGCGAGGCGTTAGAAAAGCACATGAAAAAGATGCAAGAAGATAGCCTAGCCGCAATCAAGGATTGGGAAGAATCGATAAGAAAGCGAGATTTGGCGGAAAAGCGTAGAATCGCACCGGGATGGCTCGATCGGGAGGAGAAGTTACTGCAGCCTATGCGAGTGACCCCACATGCGTCCGAAGTCGAGTCAACTTCCCCTCAGAATCAGCACCCAACGACTCAGAAATGTAAAGAAGGTACTTCGGGTACAATGTGTACAATGTCAGAAAGTGAAGGACAAGAGTTGGATCGTGCGTTTGGTGCGCTTGATATGCGATGATCCCGTATATTTGCCAGGCGAATGCGCAAAGTCTTATCCCGGCTGTTGGACTGCATATATGCCAACAGCTTGCCATCCCTCTCTCGGGAGAAGCGTGATCAAAGGACGAAGGGCATATATTTTTCGAGAAAGCATCATCCAGGATACAGGGCACGTCGTAACCAAGGGAACAACTCTAACCCTTAGTATTCTACGAGCAGATCCCAGATATGATACGAGAGCACAAACGAACCAGAATATCCGAGAAAATACAGGGATCTTCCTTCAGGACTTCTAGTGAGAATATTAACTCATTACTCGACAGCGTCAACCGCTATTATTATTAACCAACTTAGACTTTTGATTACAAAATGTTATGAAGTCTTGAATACCTTCTAGGAAGGGAAAATATCATTAAATAAACCAGTCCCCATATACATCGTCTGACCATGTTATCGTGGTTTTGCCGCTCACTCAACATACAACGTAATCTGGATCTTCGAATTGAAGTTGCCATGCTAAAATAGAAAGGTTGATCAGCTACGGCGGGATCGTGTAAGGTCAAGGTGATATGGCTATGAAGCCAATTGGATTGGAGGTCACACTTACTGGATGCATAACCGGTAAAACTGGACCAATCCTCCGAGACGTAATATGGGATACCGTTCCTCTTTATCCTCTTCAAGGTGCCCATTCCTCCTAAGGCTGGGCGAATGTTCTTGAGCGCAGTGACACGCTTGAGAAAACCGACCAGATAAGCCAGAGCCAACTCTCTTCCAAAACATTGATGGGGACCGTCGCCGAATCCGATATATTTCTCGAGTGGACGGTTCAATTTTATTGTTTCTGGCTCCGGGTATGCCTCTGGATCGCGACAAGCAGCAGCCTATTTGAAATATTAGCTTTACAGAAATGCCCTTTTTAGAGTAATTGGATTGCTTCACATGGGTGGACGAACGAAATATGCGATAATCTGGTCACCGGGCTGGAAGCTTTGAGCACCAAATTTGCCCGGCTGAGTAGCAACGCGCATCGTGATATGGCCAGCTGTCAGACGCTGCATTTCGAGAACATATCGTCGAAGATCGTTGTCAGCCCGCTCGGAATTTTCCTGAGTCAGAGCCCGGAATGTCTCCAGGTGCTCCGCGTTTTCTGGAACGGCAATCATGAACTCGAGAATTTCAACAACCTGAATTGTCGCAACACGAGCACTGTCAGCAATTCTTTCCAGGCAAAGTCTAGGAAGCTTTTCTAAAATTATTTACCGTGCTGATCGCAGCACCAATGCCACCGAGTGCAGTGAATATCATGATGTCTGCGATTTCCTCCACCGATTTCCCACTGGCGAGAAGCTCCATAATACTGTCCCTCCCAAAGTCGCGGAGGGAAGTCGCGTGGTCGTGGGGTTTGATACCGTTGGTCATAGCACCTATGATGTTATGGATTCTGCTTGCGCTGGTAACTTTTTTGATGTATGCTTCGGTGGATGCAAGTAGCCTCTTGGTGGACGCTTGCGCGTCGCGACGGCGGTTCCATGCGAGGGCAGGATCGTCGTTTCCAAATCCCCAGACGCGAATATCCAGGAGATCGCTGTATAGGCTATCTATGTTATATGTTCCGGAAGTGTTCTCCTCTGTCTTCAGATCAAATTGGAAGAGGTCACCCACAAAACGTGCCATGACAGGGATCGCGACACTATATTTTAAAATAGGGGTTAGCTGGCGTTGGTGGTCAAGCAGGTGGAGAAAATACTTCTGCGATTTCATTGAACAACTTACTCTTTAAGGATATCGACATGATACGTCCTTCCTCCAATTCGGAACATACTACCAGTCAAGAATTTGTCGGTCTGCTCCATGATGAATTTCGAGACCAGACCTTTCAGTTCACCACTTCCATAAAGCAATCCACCATACAAATTTCGCTGGTCTCTGTTCCGTGGCATATCGCCTGCAAGCATGAAGTGACCGAAGTCACGTCCCTCAATAAAATTTTCGTAAGGCTTTCCGAAGGGAACGGGGAACCTTTTGGGGTCAGTTAACATTTGGGAGATTTCTGAATGCTTCGTCAGAATCATGCGTCGGGGTGGAGGTTTTGGATCGGCTTCGGTATATTGAAACTTTGTCCCGAGCTCCGTTGCTATTTCGCGGTTCATATCCTTTGTGTACATTGGCTGCATTACTGCGAGAGAGTTAAATGGAAACCACCCTGGCAGACCACGCTGGATGAGTTTGTAGAACATGGAGCCTCCCAGCCTGTTTAATGTTATCAGCACATATGTATTCTAGACTGCAAAAGCTCAGCTTACGTGTTATAGTCCTGCTGAATTTCTGCCATTCCCCAATTTGTCAGTGCGGCAACGTTGTACTCCTGTCATAAGCGTTAGCGATGTACGAATGGCTGATGGGTGTGAGGGCAAATTTCTCACATGTGTATTGAACCTGTCTGAACGAACAAGGGTTATGGCATCAGAAAGCACAGCCCTGCCGACGGTATAAGGGGTACAGACACCCGACCCCGGGTCCATTCTCGGTTTTGCATCTTCAACGTACAAACCAGGATAGGCTTCTACATTATCGGGGTGTCCGTAAAGGTTTCGGAGATGATCGGCAATTTCTGGGTCAGGATTGATATCTTCGAAAGTTTCATGGGGTTTAAGCTTGAAGAATTTGCGGAACTCGTTGAGTGATGCCGTTCTCCTATGGAGAACAAGTATTAGAAAGGAACCCTTGGAATTCAAGAGGCCAATTGGGGAATAATAAGTAGCTATCTCCCTACCATTGGCGGGCTTGGTGTATACCCAAGATCTCGACGACTCGCAAGGCTTTCGGCGTGTTCTTGGGTCCAAAAGAACCTGTAGGGTGTGGGGTTTTGTTAGCAACTACAGATCGTTCCAATTCATTATACCAAGAACTGCGTACCTGCTGGGTCCTCCATGCTTTCCTTCAATATTCTCACAAGATCTTCATCCCGGAATTTACCATCCTCCCCTCTTTCGATGCCACCAAAATTACGCTTACTCGGATCTTTGGGGATCATGGATTCGAACCTCCCAAGAGCTTGCAAGCCATCCTTCAGGGACAATTCATCGATGGACTTCCCAGTGCTTTTGAATATTTCCCCAAAGAAGTCATCCAGCCATACTTCATCCCGCTGGGAGATACAAGAATGGAAGCGGTATAGCAGGTTGAATTCGGTAGTGACCTGATTGCCGATGCCTCTTTCGGGACCTGATTTTACCAACGAGTCTGGGATGTCGACGCGTGGATCCAAGGTCCATGTACTGTCAGAATGGTGGGTGTTGGTAATAGCACGGAGGTAGTCGTGAAGGCTAATGTTGATATACAGTCCGTTTACAATCCTAGAAATTTTGTAAGCCTATCTCGTCAGCCCCAAATCGATGAGTTCACAGAACATACAATCTGGCTGTCTGGAACAGGTCCTCGTCCAGCTTGGCAAGTGAAGCTTCATCATCTCCTTTGGGTGTGAAACGTCCTCCCTCATTGATTAGAAGCAGAGTCTGAGCTGCATAGTTGTGGAACCGGCTGTACAGCACTAGGAGGACGTTGCAGCCAGGAGATTGTCCAATTAATCTCTCATCGTGGAAAGTGTCCGGCTTGAGGAATCCATTCTTCATAGTCCTAACCTTCAATTGATCTTCAAGACTTGATCCGTACAATGGCGAAAGGTCAAGATAGGACGAATTGTTATTAATATTCATGTCGCGCCGGTCAGTTCGGAATATATCTAAATCTTTTCAGCAAGTCATATTCGACTCTAAGGGCATTCTTTGTTCCTCAAGGGCTCATTTTTTTCTTCTTACCGTGAATAATGAGAGCTGCATGATAGAACAACATGGATGAGATTCCTCCTTCATTCTTTTTAAATTGGCCATCCTCCCGTTTCATGAGAACTATGTCAAAATATCAACACAATGTTTTCTCTCACGCAGTCATTGTTGGGACTCACGGTCAAAGAGCAATCCTGGATCCGGTCTGACGCCTGGAAGCATGGTGTCGTTTCGGATCGACCTTGCATATGGCATTCCAGCCTTTCCCAGGTTCGGGAAATGTACATTCTGCGGTGATACTATTAATTATCTTTACCTACACCCACCTCTCAAATGCGGTAGACTCACGTTATAGCTTCCATCTGGGGTCCTGTAGTAAAACTGTGGCCCCTGGAAGTTGATCGGGGGATGTTCAAGACTATCCCAAAGTCTCGTGATAAGGAGGTTTGTCAATTTAGTTCGGTGTTTAGAACCTTGTGGCAACGCGCCAACCATGGCAATGATGTTTTCCATCTATTATGCCGTCGGTTTTAGTCCATGAAAACAAACTGCTCGCCAGACTCTTACTTACCGCCAGCAATCTGTCATTCATGGGTTTCCCTTTCACAGTGTCCTTAACGAATTTGATTACGTCGCCAACTCTTTTCAGGTCCATATTCTTAGGATGGTGTTTCATGATGGTCAGAATGAGGGAAGCACTGTCGATACCCGTTCCATCGTTGTCTTTCTTCGTGACGGTGTCATCCTCACTAGTTGATTTCGGAGAGACAATCTTGCGGATGCCATGACCAAATCTGTATAGGGTAAAGGTCACCACCGCTATCACAACACTTGCCGTCAGATATGAAGTCATCTTTATTTGAAATTAATTGAAAGCGATATGAAAGAACAAAAGCCTGTTCCCAAGACAGGAGGAAGACCTTTGTGCGAGCTTGCAAATCAGGACCAGCAGGATACGCTCAAAATGAGAATCAATCGAGGGAAAGTATTTTATATGATGTGAAAAGATCCGGAAAAGCCACGAGTTGTCGCAGAGTTTATTCCCGTGTCATGGAAGCAAAGCGGGGGACCGACATGCGTCACAATCTTCAGAGAATATGAGGGCCAGAAGGGTCATCATTCCAAAGTCCAGTATTTTCCGATACGGAGCCCCATCAGGATGGAGATCCCTGGGCTTAGTCTTTAGATTCATACAATCCTGAAGCTAGCCACACTTTGATAACGTACTTAG